TAAAGTGCCAGAATCCTATGGACCCGTGTGAGAGGGGGTGAGAAGGGATTCTTGGCTGCGGTTCTCACCACTCCACCTCCATTCTTCCTTCTCCCCAGATGGCATGATCAACATTGACATGACTGGAGAGAAGAGGTCCTTGGATCTCCCATATCACAGCAGCTTTGCTCCTGTCTCCGCACCCCGAAACCAGACCTTCACTTACATGGGCAAGTTCTCCATTGACCCCCAGTACGCTGGTGCCAGTTGCTATCCAGAAGGCATCATCAATATTGTGAGTGCCGGCATCCTGCAAGGGGTCGCCTCCCCAGCTTCGACTACAGCCTCATCCAGCGTCACCTCTGCTTCCCCCAACCCACTGGCCACAGGACCCCTGGGTGTGTGCACCATGTCCCAGACCCAGCCTGACCTGGACCACCTCTACTCTCCACCGCCGCCACCTCCTCCTTATTCTGGCTGCGCAGGAGAACTCTACCAGGACCCCTCAGCGTTCCTGTCCCCAAGCACCACCTCCACCTCCTCCTCTCTGGGCTACCCACCGCCTCCTTCCTACCCATCCCCCAAGCCGACCACGGACCCAGGTCTCTTCCCCATGATCCCAGACTACCCTGGATTTTTCCCATCGCAGTGCCAGAGAGACCTACACGGTACAGCTGGCCCAGACCGCAAGCCCTTTCCCTGTCCCCTGGACTCCCTGCGAGTCCCCCCTCCGCTCACTCCACTCTCCACTATCCGCAACTTTACTCTGGGGGGCCCCAGTGTTGGGGCCACAGGGCCAGGGGCCAGTGGAGGCAGCGAGGGACCCCGGCTGCCTGGCAGCAGCTCGGCCGCAGCCGCCGCTGCTGCCTATAACCCTCACCATCTGCCCCTGCGGCCCATTCTGAGGCCTCGCAAGTACCCCAACAGGCCTAGCAAGACGCCAGTGCACGAGAGGCCCTACCCGTGCCCAGCAGAAGGCTGTGACCGGCGCTTTTCCCGGTCCGACGAGCTGACGCGGCACATCCGCATCCATACGGGGCACAAGCCCTTCCAGTGTCGGATTTGCATGCGCAACTTCAGCCGCAGTGACCACCTCACTACCCACATCCGCACGCACACTGGCGAGAAGCCCTTTGCCTGTGACTACTGCGGCCGCAAGTTTGCCAGGAGTGATGAGAGGAAGCGCCACACCAAGATCCACCTGCGACAAAAGGAGCGCAAAAGCAGTGCTCCCTCGTCCGTACCCGCTGCTTCTACGGCTTCATGCCCTGGGGGCACGCAGGCTGGAGTGCCCCTGTGCAGCAGCAACAGCAGCACTATTGGAGGAGGGTCCCTGGCCACTTGCTCCTCTAGGACCAGGACACCTTGAGACCAGATTCAGCCTGACACACCAGCTTCTTGATGTCCCAGAGGCCCTCGGTCCACTGGAGCTGCACAACAAACACTACCACCCTCTCCTGCCCCTCTCTCCCTTCTTTGGGCAAAAGGGCCTTGGTGGAGCCCAGCACTGCCCCCTTTCCATTTAGAAGCAGGTCCTTCCTAAACGTTAGCCCACCTGAGTCTTTCTTTGGTGAGTTGACTATCACCCTAAGGTCATGGAGAGGTTCTGGCAGGAGGTTGGGTGGGGGCCCCTGGCCTAGAGGGCTGAGGCCTAACCCTGCTTTAAAGGGTTGTTTGGCTAGGTTTTGCTCCCCCTCTCTTATTTTGACCAATTACAGGTTTCTGACTCTGAATGTCAGAGTTGATCTGAGACGTTTTCTACAGTAGGTTGGGAGATGCTGATCCCCTTCAGGTGGGGACAGCAAAGACAGAAGCAAAACTGACGTGCACTTTATGGCTTGGGATTGATTTGGGGGACGCTGTACAACGAGTAAAGCATGGTCTTTATGCTGCATTGTGTGGCCCTGGAACAGTGAATCCAAGTGTATCTAGTCCTCTCAACCCTTTAAGCAATATGTATTATAAACTCAGAGAACAGAAGTGCAATGTGACAGGAGGGACATAGCAATACCTGCTCCTTTTTGAGTTGTTTGAGAAACGTAAAGATTATTTTTACAGTGTATATCCACTCAGATTTTGTGTATTTTTGATGTGCACTGTTCTCCAAGTTCTGAACCTTTGGGAAAAAAAAGTAAAGCATTTATGATCTTTTGAAACGAGTCAGAGGTTAACTTATTTAAAAGGGGATGTACATATATTCTCTGAAACTAGGATGCATGCAATTGTGTTGGAAGTGTCCTTGGTGCCTTGTGTGATGTAGACAATGTTACAGGGTCTGCATGTAAATGGGTTGCCTTACTATGAAAAAAAAAAAAAAATCACTCCCTGGGTTTAGTATGGCTGTATATATCTGCCTATTAATATTTGGAATTTTTTTTTAGAAAGTATATTTTTGTATGCTCTGTTTTGTGACTTAAAAGTGTTACCTTTGTAGTCAAATTGCAGTTAAGAATGTAAATAATGTTGCTGAACTGACTTGTTTGGTTATTAGCTTTTAATAGTCGTGGAAACATAAATGATTTATTCTAACACAAAACCACTAACTGAGATAATGGATGGTTTATAACTATAGTGTAAATAAATACTTTTCAACAATATTTTTGCTTTAGAAATCATTTCTGAAAGATTTGCTGGTTGGGAATTTAATAGTCATACAGTGATTTTTAGTGCTTTGACCAAGCCAGGATATCCAAGTTTTCTTTGCTAGCCTTTCAACACCAGCCCTCTCACCCCAAAGCAATCTCCATTCATAATCAAACACTAGTGTTCAGGGGATTTCCCCATTACATTAGTGTAAAAGTAGGGAGGCGTTCTTTTGACTCATTGTTCCGTCCTCTATAACAGCCTATAGCTTCTCACCACTCCTGAGTGGGCTCCGGAAAATAAATACTTACAAACAAGTGCCCACTCAGAGACTGCACATTTGCAACTGCTTTCAGAACCCTGACCAGGGGCAGGAACTCAGACCAAATGTGGCTTTGTGGAAAGTGTGGTGGCGTGGTCAAGCTGGGAATGACTTTCAGGTTCCTGGATTAGTCTCATGACCACAGAAAACTTTTTGAAAAGTATGATCACCTCTTCAGATCAAAAATGCATTCAGACACTGCTGATGACAGTGTTAATGGATTGCCAAAGGAATTACCCCAGGACACATTTCTCCCTGGTTATCCCTATTAGGAAGATCATTAATCTGCCATAGGTTTGGTGGGTTTAGAGATTACCAAAATACCCGGCTCATTAGATAAGGTAGGTGTACACCAACCCTAAAATCTCAAAGACAATTTGGATTAAATAGGCAAATACTGTTCTCCATGGTACTGGATGATGGTTTGCAAGAGAACACTATGGGCTTCATTTTACGGCAAGCCTTTTGTAGTGATTATAAAATATAAAGCCACCCCCCCAAAAAAATTGTCTTTATGAACTTATCTTTCTCTAAAATTGGGCCTAAATATTTAACTTCACCCACTGCTTCTGGATCCTTACACAAGTGTAACACAACACATTGGAGTGCCCACTATTCAGCTACACTGCCTGAAAACCCTGCCTTTTGTCCTGGCTAATAATTGATGGCCTGTACTTTAGCAGAGAAAGCAATAGCTACTCCCGGAAACTACTTTTTGCCCTTCCTAGCACTAGAATTTGAGTTCTAATATGTGGAAGTAATTAACCCTTTTATTTCTTCCCTGTCCAAATTTCAAAGATGTGCAATACCTCTTTCTATAACTACTAAACAGAAGTTTCTAAACTTTAGTGTCAGATTTCCTAGTGACTGGCGAATAGGAATTCTTAGATTCCTATTTCCTAGCTTGGCCAATATTATCATCCTTGTGTGGTCAATTTTGTTTAACACGTACAAAACTATGCCACATTTTGATAATTATGTTTTAAATGAAGACTTCCCTCCTACCAAAATTTCAATATATTAATATATAGCACACCTAAGTTTTATAAGATCTATGATTGTCTTGCCAAATTTTAATTTTAGAGCAACTTTAGTCAAGATAATGTAAAGTTTGCAAGACTAAAAGAGCTTTTCTAAAAAAAGTAAGATGAAATATATCTTATGATAGTCAAATCGGTTACATAATCACTTTTACATTGACATGGGCTTGGTGAAGTGGAATAATATACCGCAAAATGTTTTTTGAGTCAACGTTATGACTTTTACTCCTTGATTTCAACATGTTAGGTCAATCTTTAATCAAATTTTACTTTTGGCTCAACACATTCAGTAATTCTCACGGGTATCTCATTTTTTTTTTTTTTTTTTCTCAAGAAATAAAGTATATAAAGCTAAGTTGGTTCCTTCTTATTGCTTTATTGAATAATATTATTGATGCTTCAGCTGCTACTAGAATTCTTGTTAAAAATAAACTTCTGGAGAGTAATTCCTTAAAGATCATAATACACTCGAGATAGTTCAGTAAACATTAAAAATAGATCTATTAAACCTAAATAAGGTTTTCAATTATTAATAAACAAGCCTATTTAATTTCAATATCCTAACTGCTAATTAAATTAAGGCACACTGTTAGGTATATATTAAAAATGACTGTAGTGCTATTTTAACAGTTCAATACAATGTGTATGTGTGTGTGAGAAAGAATGGTCAGCATCACCACAAGTGCCTAAAGTGCCTCCACTCTAAACAAACAAATTTTACAGTAAAAGGAAAGGCAAGAAAATATTTAAATCCAAAGATTCTTTCCTTTGTGGATGAAAATATTTTTGTTTTCTTGCAGAAGTTTATTTTTCCTTAAGTTAAATAGAAAACATATTTTCTGTTGCAGCAAAATAGTATGATTAAACATTAAATAGTTGCAGATTATGTTTTCAATCAACTGTTTCAAAGCACACTCTCAAGGAAATAAACTTTAGAATCTGCAGGCCATCAGTTGTTGGTACATCATCTTACAGTATAGACCATGAACCTTTAACAGCTAGTAAAAATGTAGTCATTTGTAGCAAGTAATACTTTCCTTCTCTATTTTGCAATAATCAAGTAAGATTTACCTATAAACAATTTCAAACATGCCTTTATTTTCCATAAGTACACTGATTTTAATCCAGAAATGTAAATATCTCTGGATCTGAAGATTCAGTCTTTATATGGGGCTTAACAAATGATTTCCCTCTTTGATAGTAGATGCCTCATTGCACTAAAGGGATCAGAGGTCCCGAGTTCAGACTAGGAGAGTTACATGAGTGTTACTACCCGCATGTTAGAGTTCAATAGCACTGGGCAGAGCCCTGGATTAGAGATATATTGCTTCTTTATCAAGCTGTAGAGCCATGGCACAAGATTCAAAGTCATTTAGAAAAGATGAGTGATGACAGAGTCCTCCTGGGATGCCAAGACTGAGGTACCTACAAGTGGATAATCCAAAAGGAGGAATAGAAGGTGGGAACTTTGGGAGAAGTTAAGGGATTAATGTTAAAAGGTCGGAGACCCACTCCTGTTGACAAACACATAGTACTTTAAAAATAGGCTCACCATTTTCATTAATAAACAGCAACTGGTATAAACAATCCATGCAAATCAGGCTTAATTAAAAAAATCAATTCTCATAAAGTAGTAGGCAGATAATACTCTCCATTGATATAAGTGGCCATTGATATAACCAGTAAAATAAAAAGCTTTACAAGTATTAGACAGACAACTTCTTACTCATGAGAAGCAATTATTGAATGTTATGCAACAGAAAAGTTAAGTGACTAGTATCGTTGTGCTCATTAGTCTTTGTAGGTAAGACAACTTTTTCCCACCGTAGTTAATAAAACAGTCTATATTGCAGGAATACATGGAAACACAATAGCAGCACATGAAGTCACTTATGACTAACAGTTTATGCAGAAAAGTGCAAGGTTTTTCTGCACATTTATCTTAGTAATAAGAATAGTCTTTTCTTAGTGGCTCATTAAAACAGGTCACATTTTGTGTTCACCATTAATTTATTCAGAATTTATTAGTGAACCAAAAGTTTCACTGTTCCTCTTGAACTAAATTAGAGATAACATATTGCTGTTCTGACTTGCAACAATTTCAGTTATGCTTTTATGAAAAGCACCTTAGTTTTTTTTCATTCAACTTGCTTGTACTTGAGAACTTTAAAACTTTTCATAATGAAATTTGGAAAATCTTTTCTCCTTTAATATTGTGCTATTGCCAGAATGGTTAATTTAATGTCCTCCAGGTTATATTATAACATACACATTACAATCCACAATCTTAATAAGTTAATCTTAACTTTTTGCTACAATATAATTCAAAACAGGTAAGTATGTGATTGTTAACCAAACACATTCATACTGTGCTATGAAAAACACCCATTTGGTAAAGTTTTCTAAGAAAATCGTTTCCATATCTAGAACTTATTTTCAAACTGAATGCATAAAGAACTGCTTCAAACGGCTCCCAAGTTATATTGAATGTGAAGCTACCATAAACAATGTTAGTAACTCTGGAGAATATTCTTGGTGTTATGCCTGTGTCAGGATTTATAACATAGTGGCATGTCACTTTGAGTAAACATCTTTTTTTTTGTATATAATAGTAATTCATTAAGAATTTTGCTTTTTCATTCTATCTAAAAAATTGGGAACAAATATTCCTTCATTCTGGGCCTCTGTAACCCAGTGCGCATGAAAAGGCAAAGGCACATGCTGCTTTCCTCCAGGGCCCACACTTTCCACCAATAGCAAACCTCCCTTTATTACAGATATTAGAACTGGACTGCCACATGGGCAAGTCAATCAAGAGGGCTTAGACGACAGCTGGGCAAATTTTAATGTGTTTATTTCTACAATTTGTTATTGAAAGTTTGTGAAAAAAGGAATCCTATTAATAGTAATCAGGGGGAAACAATAGTGCTTCATGGCCGGAAGCAAACGGTGTCAATGTGTTTGTAAACAAGGTCAAGTTGCTCAAGACTATTAAAAGGACAAACATAAAACTAGTTACAGATAGCACAACTGTTCAAGAGGCTGGGAGTGGGGGTTTTTGGTTCCCTAAAATGGCCAGCAGAATAATTAATTCTCAATTGCGGAGCCTGGGTCGCCAGTGCCTTCTCGCTCTCCCTATAGAAAACCACTCCAGATGAAGCAAGCGCTGGCTCTCTCCTGCTAGAGGGACAGGGTTCTGAGAACAGGGCCACCAACAAACACCACAGCTGGAACCACCAGCTCTCTGGAACATTAGGTGTGAGAGAACTTGAAACAGTTAACATTTTCCTCTACTTTTGCAGGAAAATACCGGAAGTAAATAGGGACATGGAGTTCAACAGCTGGCCAGGGGTGTTTTACATTCAGTTGTTTGGAAGCATACTGATTCAGTGCCTCTGAATCCTCTGGTTAGAAAATACAGCATTACCCTACCACCTCTTATACTATGACAAAACAAAAGTCACTTGAGGGTAATATAGTTTTTACATTAAAGGTGAATCTGCAACAAGAAATCTGCTCAACTCACAGATCTGGGGACTCACAGGGAAGATACGCTCTATGTGACAATTTGTCACTGAGAAATGCAGGTGTGAATTTCTTAGTGGATGCTGCCCAAGTAAACCAGATGTGGCTACTGGGCAAGGGGAGGAAAGAAAATCTTGTCCTCTACATGCATAGTTATGTCCTGGGGATGATCCCCCAACTCTGGAAAACTGATTTAATTTTTGCAACGAATTAATCAGGCAGGGCAGCTCACTTAAAAAGTAGCTCATCTCTCTAAAACCTAGTTTTTGACCAGTGACTTGAACTAAAAGCAATTCAAACCACTGGGTCATGCAGCCAATAAGTTAAAACTGTAACAAGGAGCCAAGGACCTAAGTGGAAAACAAGCCCTATTTACCCAAGGAGAAGGCGATGGGGGGAGAAAACCTTTCGGTGTATCTTGTATAGAATGGGAACAAAGGAAGAATATTTTCATTATGGCTTTAGGATGGAAGCGCTTCCGATAGTCCCCTGCTCCCCTCCCCCCAAATCAAAACCCTGGTGGCAGCGACAAAGCCAGGAAACAACCTAGCCTCCCCCGCCCCCATAACCGTGCCGGGTGGCTGCGGTCCAGTTGCTGCCCGCGCTTCCCAAGGCTCCCGAGGAAGCACACCAGCCCACTCCAGTAGATCCAATGCCCAGGTGGCCTGGGGGTAGGGAGAGAGCCCTTGCGGTGGGGGTGCTGGCAGCCAGGCGCCTGCGGCTTCAAGGGACGACCTTGGGACCTGGATAGGGCTCCCCCTCGCACCAGAAGTCATCGGCCTGCGGGGTCTCCAGGAGCCACACCTCTCGGGGCAGGTCGCAGGTCGATCCGGAGGCCTCCTTGGCCCGGACAGGTTCCAGCACCCGGTAATAGTGGCAGTCCCGGCCGTCGTCGGGGTCGTAGGGCGGGGCCAGAATGTCCAGGAAGGCAGCGGGCCCGTCCACAGCATCGATCTGGTGCAGGTTGTCCCGGTGCGGCGTGAGGATGCAGGGGCCGCTGGCCTCGGTGTACTCGGCCCGCGAGCGCAGCACGCCCGGCCGGACGGCGTCCCGCTCGCGGGGCTGCAGCGGCGGCTCGAACTGCTGCTCCGGCGGCGGGGCCCGCGGTCGCTGCCCGCCCGCCTCCAGCTTGTCCATGCAGCTGATGCGCACGGTGCCGTAGAGCACCTTGAGCATGCCGTGCATGCCCGGGTGGTCGTGCAGCGGGATGGACGTGCCGCTCTTGAGCAGGAACACGCCGAGGCTGAAGCCGTCCGTCTCGTAGATGTGCATGTAGGTAACGGGTGGCAGGTTGGGTGGCAGCGGCTGCAGCGTGGCCTTGCGCGGGGCGATATTCAGGTCCTCTGCGCGGACCTGGGTCAGCAGGCTCTTCAGCTGGCTCAGGTTCTCCGGGAAGCCCGGCGGCGCCGGCGCCTCGGGGCCTGGCACCGCGCCGCGGTCGGAAGCGCTGCGGCCGCCCCCGCGGCCTCGGAAGGTGAGGCACGCCTGGCGGGCGATCCGCTGGATCAGGGAGGCCATGTTGTCTCGGGGCATGCCCGGCGGTTCCTCCGAGCGCCGAGGACGGCCCCCTCCTTTCCTCCGCCCCTTTCGGTCACCTGCGGCCGCCACGGCTGCGCGCACCCCGGGCGGGAGGCCCCGCAACCACCGGCTCGTGGGGCGCGGGGCACGGCGGCCGCTAACCTCGGCAGCCACGCGCTTGCAACGGTCAGGCGCTCCGGCCTCACGCCCCCTCCGAGCGCGCACGCGCCCGGCCCATGCCCGGCACTCGCGATCCAGGGGCAGGTACCGGCCTGGCTGACCGTGGCGGGCTGTGCCTTACGCCCGAAGCTCCATTGATGCGGCCCGTACCTATGATGGTGGACAGGCGCTTCGAGCGCCTTGCACAGCATGCTGGGACTTGTAGTTCGATAGGCCGCATGGGCTCCGAGGGAGTTCCTCTGTCAGCTGGGAAAAGGGAGGATTAGATGTGTTGGTCACAAAGCGACCTTCCTTACAGTTCCAAGGTGTTTTGAGTATATTTGAAAAAAAGGCGAATTGGGCACAAGAGAAGTGGCCAGTTAACTACAACTCCCGGCAGCCCCTCCAGCTGGGGTCAGTGACGCACTTCCGGCAGGTGGCTTGCAGCTTGGTGGCGGCTCTTTGGCCATCGAGGAACAGGCCCAGGGGGTCGATAGCCTTTTGACGCCGCTCGGTCTTGGTCAGCCATCCAGCGTCACTTTTCTCTGGCCTCACTCCTGGGCAGGAAGCCGCTGGGTTAACTTTGGCACCTCGTGGCCTCCTAGGCAGCACTGCGGGCTACGGGAATGAGGGGAGGGCACTTTACTAATTTTTTAAGTTTCTTAGGAGATGAGAGGGTCGAGGCCGTCCCTGGTGGTCACAGTGACTACTCTGCACAGCTGTCCCCAGCTGTTGTTTGCATCAGTGTCTGATGACGCTCCTCTTCTGGTTACAGAGCACAGTCTTTTGTTTTTTTGCTGGGACCCAAGAGGCCATTTGCTGTGGTCACGGATTCTGTACACAAATGTTGATCAAACCCTGATTTGCCGAAGAAGCACCTAGTTTTGGTGGGGCGGGGGTGAGGGAGGCAGCTTTAAAAAATACAGATTGCTGGTCGCCATACAGAGATTAATGCATGGTTATGACGCCTCCTGTGAGAATCAGGCAAGCTCTTTGGACTTCCAGAGTTAAACATAGGCTTCTTGTTCATTTTGTAATCGGAGTGGTTCAGTAAATCCTTTTCAGTTAAAAACGGCATGCTTTTTGGGAGCTATGCCATCTAAATAAGGAACACTCAGGATATGCTAGCACCGTGTTAAGTGCATTTCCTTATGGATATTATACTGTTTAATCCTCACAGCAAGCACTGTTATTCCAAGTTTGCATATGTGGATAAATTGCAGCACAAAAACAGAGCATACAGTTTTACCAAAACCAGTAGCATGAATTGGTGTTAAAAGCGCCAAATGTGGAGGATATTGTTTTTCTATCTTACAGTGCTACTTTATGTCTTTAGGCAGACCCTACCCTTTTAGATCTTCACTTATTCATTTGTAGAATGCTGGGGTTAGTCGTTCTAAGCCCTGGTTATTTATCAGAAGCCCATGGGGAGCTTTATAAAAGTAATATTTTGGCCCTGCTAGTGTAGCTCAGTGGTTGAGCATAGACCTGTGAACCAGGAGGCCACAGTTGGATTCCCCGTGAGGGCACGTGCCCAGGTTGTGGGCTCCATCCCCAGTGGGGGGGGGGGGGGGGGGGAGCTTGCAGGAGGCAGCTGATAAATGATTCTCTCTCATCATTGATATTTCTATCTCTCTTTACCTCTCCCTTCCTCTGTGAAATCAATAAAAATAAATATATATATTTTTATAAAGTGAAGATTTGGGATCACATCCCAGGGATTCTGATTCAGAACTGGAATGAACCTAGAATTTTTATTTTTAAGCTGTTCCCCAAATGATTCTTGATTATCAGCCTAGAACCAATATTAGATCTTTACATAGTGAATCAGTTCATAATATTTGGTGATTTTGATTGACAGGGTGACTGTTTTAGAAAAGGACTTTTGAGATTAATTCATTTTCAGAGGTTGCCATGCCATTTTTAAGGTATTTAAACGTATTGTCAAAATTCACCATGTAATGAAATCCCAGGCAATCTTTTTCTAAAAAGTGAGGAATATTTAAGAGAAAAATCTCCTCCCTTCATTTACAAATCTGGATTTTTATTTATTGGTTTTACTTCTGTAATTAGTGGAGGTATAGACTCCATAGAATACAGACCTTAGTAACATACAGATGTGTTTGATTTCTGAAGCTGTCACATCTTAATAGTTGTCTGTACTTATTTAACTGAAACTCATCTATTAAAATGGGATAATATGATATATGTGTAAAACACTGATAATAGCGTGCAGAACATTGTACTTGTCCTATAATAGTAGCTATTATTATAGTTTAAAAATGGTTAAAAGCTGTAAAGACCTATGAATTTAAATAATGTTCAGCAAGAATTAAAATGGAGGTTGACTTATCTTGAGAATCAGTTTCAAGGTAGAGATAAAAAAAGATTTTTAATGGTTAAGCCCTCTTCCTGATAATACCATCCCTCAGGCCTTTGCTATTCCTTGTTCAGCCCAAGAGTACAAAGTTTCCAAAGACTTCCTGTATCAGAATCACCTGGGGGTGTTTGTTGAAAGTGCAGATTCCCAGATCATGTGGAAACCTACTGCATCTGAATCTTTTGCATGTTAAAGTTTTTAAGAACTGCTGAGTATTCAGAGGGCATGTGGTTCTTTGTTTTGGGACACAGACAGGCTATCTCCATAGTTCCTTTTGATGCTGCCCTTCAGAGCTGCACTAATGGATGAGATCAATTCTAAGGGCCTTGCCCTTAAGAACTTTACTTGGCCTTCTGTCCCACCACCAGTAGAATAGGCTGAGTGGGTTTCTATTACCATTAACATCTTTCTTTTTATGCTTCTTATTTTGTTTTCTTCAGTGTTGCAATAAGCAGAATGAAGATCAAAAGAAATCAAAACAGTGAACAGACCAAAGAGAAGTAATAGTGAACAAGTGTGTGTGTGTATTTGGGGGGAGGGGTGTGTGTGGAAGCTTTTACACAGTACAAATAAATGAAGAACATAACTTCAGACAGTAGTAAATTTATGAAAACAAAATAGGATAGGATGGTGGTGTGTGTGTGTAGTGTTACTTTAAATTGGGTTGTCAGGGATGACATTTGAGCTGCTCCTGAATATTAAGGAGTCAGCTATGGAAATATCTGAAGCCATATCTGGAAGCAGTCCTAGGGTTGTTAAAAAGAGTGACCTAGGGGGTCACCACAACATGATTTTAACCAGGTGCAAAGGAGCTTGGTATAATTGGGGACCAGAATGAAGGCCTATTAGAGTACATAGTGAGTTCTGGGAGGGAGATAAAGTTGCGGGGGGGGGGGATGGGGGAGTAGATAAGGGACATATTATATAGGGCTTATAGGCCATGGGTAGGGAGTAATAGGAAATTTAGTGTCATTGTAGGGAGTTGGATCTTATTGTGAGTGTGGCAAGAAGCTTTTGGAGAGCTTTGGGCAGGAGAATGACTTGATCTGTTCTACTCCCCCGAGAGATTGGGGGTAGTGTAACAGCAAAGAAACCCTGATTGGAAGCAGTAATGCAGAGGAAAGACAAGAGAACTAGTGTTAAGATTAGGAATCTATTTTGTAGGTAGGTAGAGCTGACAGGGCTTGCTGATGAGCTATTTCTTTGCCAATCTATTTCTTAAAGTATTTTCTCTCCACATTTTCTTTTTCACGAGTTGACAGCTATGTGGTGATAGGTAAGACTGATACAGCTTACATCTTACCTCCTGCCCACGTCTAACTATTAAATTTAGGAATGGGGGAAGCACACAGAAGCATGAGTAAAGCTGAGAGTTTTTTATAGTTGCTTAATTAACCGGGAGTTAAAAAGATCTGGAAGAGCCCCCAGCATATATTTTTTATTAACTCCACCTGCTCATTTATATGATCTCTTCATTCTTTGGGAACTAGGCTTGTATGTTGTCTTTCACTCCTCTTCCTCTGGCCTCCTCTTTATGAGGATATATTTTCCTTAATTCCCAAGATAGCTTACCATCTGACTTTTCCTCAAATCTTTCTTCAGAATTTATTTTGTCCATCCCTTTCGATCACACTGGGACCCAGTCAAAAGAGTACAAGAGTGCTGACATTTTCAAATGCTCAGGGTTCCTTGCCTGCAGTGCTTCTGTTTGTTTTTAAGTGGGCAAGAAGGTGTGTTTTTTTTTTTTTTCTAATAGCTCTTGCCACCTCACTCCTATATCTGCCTTTTATGTCAGTATAGAACAGCGGTTCTCAACCTGTGGGTCGTGACCCCTTTGGGGGTCGAATGACCCTGTCACAGGGGTCGCCTAAGACCATCGGAAAACACATACACAATTACATATTGTTTTTGTGATTAATCACTATGCTTTAATTAGGTTCAATTTGTAACAATGAAATTGGGGGTCACCACAACATGAGGAACTGTATTAAAGGGTCACGGCATTAGGAAGGTTGAGAACTACTGGTATAGAACATGGTAAATAAATTGATTAAAAAATTCTTATTTTTAGACTTATACTTAGTTTGAAATATTTTGGGTTTATACTGTGGCTTTCTTTTCAGTTTTACCAAATGTTGGCATCTATTTCTTATCCATTCTTATGAATGAGGGTCAGGTTGTAAGAATAAAATAAATAGTTGTGAAGGCAGAAGAGCCTGGCTTAGTTTTGCCACTAACGAGCTGTGTGTTATTGAACAAATCACTTGACTTCACTAGATCCCTGCTTCTTCATGGTTCAGGGGGACAGCCTCTAAGATTCCTCGCAGCATCTCATTAGTTCAGTGTGAATGATGGAGACAATCATAAGGACCATTCAGACCAAACCAAACATGAGTTTTCTCTTATATCATTTATCTGAAATTATGATATCATAACTCTCTCATTTCTGTTTGGGTCCACTAAGATCTTATAAAGTAACTCTGCTCCACTCTACTCTGATTGAACTTGGTGTGGTGTATGAGCTGTTCAGGGAAATGTGCTAAGGTCAGGAATTGTTAGTGTTCAGGTTAGACTTTATTTTTATTTTTTGGAATTTATGTCTGCATGATTTATTTATTTGTTTATTTATTTATTTAAATATTTATTGTTCAGATTATTACAGTTGTTCCTCTTTTTTCCCCCCATAGCTCCCCTCCACCCAGTTTCCAACCACCCTCTGCCCTTACCCCCCCACTGTCCTCATCCATAGAGGTACGATTTTTTTCCAGTCTCTTCCCACAACCCCACACCCCTTTACCCCCGAGAACTGTCAGTCCACTCCCTTTC